CCAATCTATGAGCTCCCCAAAAAAAAAGACCTTAATTCCCTACATTTCATAAATTCTTACAGCAAAACATCCTACATTTCATAAAACATCCTACATTTCATAAAATTCTTACATTAAAAAAGACCAAAAAACACCTTCAATCAATTTCCTACATTCCATCAAAAAAAGCATATTAAAAATACCCTTATATAAAATAACATCTGGTTTTAAAATAATGTAGAAGGGAGATAACTCTTTTTTTTGGAAAATTTCTACTCAAATTTTAAACATTAAAAATGGCAAATAAAATACTAGATCCAATCTTTAGATTATAAGATCCGATTCGTTATTCATTTAACAAGAAAAAAGAGGATTATATTATCATCTCACCGACTGTTGGTTCTAAATCCCAATTGAATGATGGTGGTAGAATTACCTTCGAAATAAATTCATGATCGAATTGGTTGCTTCTATCAGATGCTTATTTCAGATGCGATTTCAAAATTAAAGATGGAACTCAGAATCAAGTTCCACAAACTAATACAACGTTAGAAAACAATTTCTTTCCATCTTTAGCGAGATGGTTTTGGAAGCTGGTTCAAATCCGATAGAAACAATCAAACACCCTGAGGAATTCGACACAATGTTGAAAACAGTTTTATATCCTAAAGATTTCGATTCAGTCTCGGGTTGGATACCCGATGTTGGCGATGGAAGTGTTTTAAAAGAACCGGTAAGAAATGTTGCAAATGATGCTGATTTAGATAGAGTGAGAGTTGTTGCTCGAAACACAATAGAAAGAGTATCACGAGCAGCTAATCAGGGATTTGAAAAACGAGTACTTCAGTATAATAATATTGTTGAGAATAATAGTTGGGGTAATTACGTAAATTGGAAATTATATCGTTTATTCGGTCTGTTGGAACACAGAAAGGTTTCCATAGGGTTACCATATAAAATTCATCTACAAAGAGAAATCAACGACGATAAGATATTGTTTGGAGAGAATGGTTCGGATGCAAAATTAGAAATAACGAATCTCCAACTTTTCATACCCGTAATAACACCATCAATTGAAGTAGAAACGAGAATATTCAACTCGTTAACTAAAGATATTGAAATAGCTTTTCTTCATCGTAATACGGTAGGTAGCATGACTTTAACTGGACAATCCCCACGTGGCCAATCACTAACACTATTAAACTAGCAAGATATTTAATGGTTGGTTTCAAGAACTTAGGAGATTCTCCAACGAATAACAATAATGTCTTTAGAGTGGCAATGAACCAAACTCAAAATCCTTTAATCCATAAAGTTCAAGTAAGATTAAACAACGATAATTATCCTAACCAACCTTAAACAATTAATCCAACCACAAAGGATTATAATGAATTGTATAGAAACTATAAAAATATGTGTGAATTATTTGGAAATCTACCTCAGTTTGAATATGTAGATTTTGCACTCAATCATCCAATCTTCTGTTTTGATCTATCAGCTCACCAAGAAGATCTTTTCAAAACAGGAGTGAACATAATATTCATATTGAAAAAACACAAGGAGATGTAACAGGTTATTGTTTATTATTGGAAGAAGCAAAACATTTAATTAAAATAGCAGATAGAAGAATGATAAGAATTATACAGAAAAATACACTCTTAAAAATGAAAGTAGAAACTTTAGTTATGAAAATGATAGAAGCTATTGAAACAGCTTCACCAACTGTAATAACTTTCAACGGTAAAAAAATCAGCATAACTAAAAAACTTATTGATAAATACAAATATTGTAAAGTCAGAGACGATATAGATTTAGAAAGAATTGATACAAATGTAAAAAAAGGTGGATTTTTACCTTTCCTTTTACCTTTAATATTTGGTGGTATTGCGGCGGCGGGTGCAGCTACTGGAGGAATATCTGCCGCAGTCAAAGCTGCCAACGCAAAGAAAGCAGCTGATGCTAAAGCCGCTGAAGAACGCAGACATAATTTAATAATGGAAAAGGAAGCCAAAGGTTCAGGAGTGGGAGAAATGATAGGCACAATAAAAGAATTTGGAAAAAGATTTCGGGAAGAAAGCAAGAAAACTGTTAAACAAGGATTAAATAAATTAGTAGATAGTATTGACACGGGAGAAGTCAAAGTCAAACATAAGGGTAATGGAATATTTAAAAAAAATATACACACTGGAGAAGGAATATATCTTTCAAAGTATAAAAGAGAAATAGTGATTTTTGGAACAAATTGAAACTAGAGCCACTCGTGGCACAGTGTGGGACTTTGCAAATGTAGCAAAATGCAAAAGACCCTGAAAAAATCAACCTTCGACGATAGGTAGATCAAGCGCAAGAACAGTCTAAAGTTGAGAAATTTTCAGTTTTTAGAAGATTCAGAAGTAGACGTCAGACCTCACAAATGAAAGTATCAGCAGATAGCCAAGGTCAATGACCTTTGATCTTGTAAAGGAGAAGTTCTAAAAAGACACAAATATGGTAAAAAAAAACTTAAATTTCAATTTTGCTTTAAAAAAGCAATTGTTCTATATCTATGTAAAGTGCATGAGAAGCACATTAGGAAACCGAAAAAATTAACCCTCTAGGTTAATTATGTCACGTGCTACAGCAGTCCAAAGTTGCGAATTTGGCTTTTTACGGATAGCTATAAAACCGGAAGTACATGTCGGAGGTTAAAGGTCAAAGTATCAAATGATAACCAAGGTCAATGACCTTTGACCCTATGAAGGTCAAGGTCATCAAAGGTCAAGGTCACATGGTGTTGGTGTTTCAAGTTGGAAAAAAATGTAACCAGAAGTTGCAAAAAAGGAAAAGCGAAATTCAAAATTCGGCTCCCAATATTTTTTGCGCAATCGATTTTGGAATACATACACATCAAATTTGAGTATATCAACATTTACCCTGAGGCCCTATTTTGAGTTTTACAAAAGTTTGTTTTTTTCAATATGGCGGCCTAAGTATCACTTTCGGTCTGGATTTTATTTTAAAATCGGCCATACAATTTTATTTGCTAAAGATCAGCTAAATTTTGTTGACCTACATAAATTACACCGGAAGTTATTCAACCGGAAGTAGATTTGAAGTTCAGTCGCTTTCCTGTGGAAATGACATACAAAATTTGACTGTATCATATTAGTAACATTAGTGAAGTCTCTTTGCATTTAAAATTTCAGATCAATCGATGCAAAAGCAAAAAAGTTGCAAAAAAATCGAAAAATTTGATCGAAAAAAGTGAGCGACGAATTTTCAAATCTCGTAATTTTTCAAGTGCTATCAGGTCAGAAATTACAGGTAGATTGTAAAAATGAAAACCCGAAGAAAATCGATGCAAAAATACGCCCTCTAGAGCCGATTTTCGACTTTTTGCACATGTTGAACTGTGGCACTTCCGGTTTTGCAAAAATGTTCCAATATATATTTAAGGAACACGTTGCCACTACAGAAGGTCTAGAGTAGTTGAATGGTTGCTGCAACTACTGCAGTCTAGGCTCAGGAAGGTGTGTAAATTTCGAAAAAAAAAGAATGGACATTTCGATAACAAACGGAAGCGGAAGCAAAGTCCCACAATAATAAAAAATGGGCAAAAAATTTAATCGTTCAGAAATATTTCCTAATAACCCAATGCTCATGTGTATATGTGGTAGTTCCGGTTCTGGGAAAACTCATCTCACTTTTAACATGTTGACACCACCAAACCTTTTAGATTTCGATTCTTTGTACACCAACAACAGCAATCGTATTATCAATTTCTCAAAGCTTTAAAATATCTACCAAAGAAAGATGTTCAAGACCTATTTCAATATCACGAAGAAAACGAAAAAGAAGTGGAAATAAAAGATATCTTAGATAACTACATCGAAGGAAAGAATCCAACGGATATAATAGTTTTTCTTATGAAAAATGTTAATGATCTAGACTTGTCTAATATTGATAGCAAACGAAAGAACTTAATATTGTTTTACGATTGTGTAGCGCAAAGAAATCAAGCTGTTCAACAAGAATTCTTCACGAAGGGAAGACATCACAACTGTCACTGCATATACCAATCTCATCTTTTTACGGGATGGATTCTATGTTCATTAGAAAAAATGCAAAATGTTTTTCATTATTTGAATTAAACGATAAAGATTCATCTCAAATCATTCAGTCGATAAATCACGGAATGGACAGAGATGCATTTAAAAAGGCTTGTAAAGCTCAATGGAAAAACCCAGATGATCATGGATATAAACTAGTGTCCAAAAGAAACGATACCACCTGTTTGCAACGACATAAAAGAAAAACTGAACAATGCAGAAGTTTAGGATTGGTGTTATGCTTTTGAGAAATCCTTTCACAACATCTGTACAAAAATTTCATTTCAATAAAATCTGTACAACCAATATGACAATCCTTTAAAGATGGGTGGGGTCGAAAAAAGAACATTTCGTTAGAGCACTGATCACAGACACATCGGGAAATGTCACACCACACGTCACAAAGTCCAGTCAGTAGCGGGTAAGTCCACCGTGAGCATCAATACACGCCTACGGACTGATGCCGTCAAACGTATGATGACGTTGGGAGTGATGCGTTGCCATTCCTCGAGGAGATATCGTTCCAAGTCCTGGACGTTGACTGGAGGCACACGGCGACGTCGGATTTACCGATCGAGGTGGTCCCATAAGTGCTCGATGGGATTCATGTCCGGTGAACATGCAGGCCATGGCAAAACCTGTACGTTGGCGTTGGCAAGGAAGTTCTGTGTCAATCTTGCTGTGTGTGGCCTTGCATTGTCATGTAGGAAAAGGAGTCCACGAGGCTGTTGCTGAATAAAGGGCACCACAACAGGCCGTAGGATGTCATCAATATAACGCTGTGCATTCAGGTTTCCACGAATTACGACAAGCCTCGTTTTGACGTCACCACATATGCCACCCTAAACCATTAACCCTCCACCTCCAAACGGCCGGACCCGTTGGATACAGTTAGGCGCCAAACATTCACCAAATCGTCGGTATACAAGCTGCCGTCCATCGTTTTTGAAGATGAGGAATCTGCTCTCATCAGAGAACATAACACGTGCCCAGTCCCGCCGTTGTCAACGTCGAACTCGCCTGGCCCAGATCAGTCTGTTGTTCCGGTGTCGAGGCGTCAGGAGCGGTCCGCGGTAGGGATGACGTGGCCGGATACCATACTGCCGTAGTCTCCTGTAGATTGTCTGTCGACTGATCCTGTGTCCCAGTGCTGTAGCCGCCGTGGACGTCGCTGTTACGGTGCGATTCCTCAGGTGTAATACCCGAATGTAACGATTTCACGGGGCGTGGTTACTCGTGGTCTTCCACTCCTGGGCCTGTCTGACGTCTGACCTGTCTGACGTAACCGCTGCATCAACCTGGTGATAGTGATGCGTGCGCAGCCCAACCTTCTGGCGACGTCGACGTGTGTCGCTCCTTGTTGGACCATTCCAACGGCTCTCTCTCTCTCGATGGCTGTCAAACGTGGCATATCTAGTGTTCTTTTTGTTGCTGTGATATCAACGTGTCTGATCAGCCGTTTTATACAGTTTTATGCATGTGCAGAACATGCTAGAGAGGGAAATGTCACTTTCATGAAATTTACGTTTTTTCCCGGAAGTGATCACGTGTTCCCGGTATTTTTATCGACTATGCTGTGTTTGGGATGTGCAATACGAATTGGCATGTTTTCATATTAGACAATTCACTTAGTAAAAAACAATTTTGAAAATAAGTTGGTATCGTTTCTTTTGGACACTAGTTTATATTGGTTAATACTAGAAAACCTGCGGGTGGAAGAGTTATGACAGACATTTGTTAAATTTTATTTTTTTAAAATGGATAATTGGAATAATATTTTAAAAAGAAATAAAGAATATATCAAAGCTAAGAATAGAATAAAGACCCAAGTTGAAAATAACAGATTACAACAACTCGGATTAACGGAAAATCTACAAACTCTATTTCAACCCATATTAAAATCTCAAGAGGATATTAAAAAGAGACTCATCCCTCCTATAGAACCCACACCTTCTATAGAACCCCTACCTCCTATAGAACCTCATTATTATGATGGGTTATTGTTTAATGAATATAGAATAAAATTTGATAAATTTTACCCTTTATTCAAAATCGATAAAAAAGACTTTAAAGATGGGTGGGGTCGAAAAAAGAACATTTCGTTAGAGCACTGATCACAGACACATCGGGAAATGTCACACCACACGTCACAAAGTCCAGTCAGTAGCGGGTAAGTCCACCGTGAGCATCAATACACGCCTACGGACTGATGCCGTCAAACGTATGATGACGTTGGGAGTGATGCGTTGCCATTCCTCGAGGAGATATCCTGGACGTTGACTGGAGGCACACGGCGACGTCGGATTTGCCGATCGAGGTGGTCCCATAAGTTCTCGATGGGATTCATGTCCGGTGAACATGCGGGCCATGGCAAAACCTGTACGTTGGCGTTGGCAAGGAAGTTCTGTGTCAATCTTGCTGTGTGTGGCCTTGCATTGTCATGTTGGAAAAGGAGTCCACGAGGCTGTTGCTGAATAAAGGGCACCACAACAGGCCGTAGGATGTCATCAATATAACGCTGTGCATTCAGGTTTCCACGAATTACGACAAGCCTCGTTTTGACGTCACCACATATGCCACCCTAAACCATTAACCCTCCACCTCCAAACGGCCGGACCTGTTGGATACAGTTAGGCGCCAAACGTTCACCAAATCGTCGGTATACAAGCTGCCGTCCATCGTTTTTGAAGATGAGGAATCTGCTCTCATCAGAGAACATAACACGTGCCCAGTCCCGCCGTTGCCAACGTCGAACTCGCCTGGCCCAGATCAGTCTGTTGTTCCGGTGTCGAGGCGTCAGGAGCGGTCCGC